CGTACTCAGATACAAGTACAACCAAATCCGGGCTTGTGGCTTTGACATGTTCAGGTAAATCCTTAAGTTCGATGTCTGGTATATGAGGACCCCAGGTGACATCGCCAAGAAGATTCATCACTGGATTGTTCAGGATGTTGTCGATTCTCTTGCCGCTTTTGGGCAGGATTGAAACAACATGGACCATAGGAAAATCCCTTCTTTGTACAGCTACAATGAAAGCGTATGTTAGTAGTATTAAATTTTCATTCCTTTTGAATTATGCCTGTTGACTGAGCTATCCATGCTTAGCCAAAAATATAGGGTTTTATAAAACATTGACTACAGACCAGTTTTTGACTTGACATACTTTTTGAATGATCTGAAGACTTGTCAACATCCATGAAACTTGTTCTCGAAAACTGGGATTTCATGCCGTCATCTTTTTTAACATTTTCTGATTGTTTTGATGGTTCTGTAGGAAGTAGTGCTGGAGGAAGGTCTCGATTTTTGTTCTTTTCCCGTGGAAACATCTCAGTTCCAGTGGCATAACCAATTTTATCGTCCAATGGATGTGATTTTTTAACTCCATGTTCCGGTGGTTGATGCTGATTGGAGGATTTTAGTCGATCTGTTGTTGTGTCTTTCTTTCCAGCGGTTGAATGGCGAACTACAGTAGCTTTAGGCTTCGGTTTTGGCACAAACTTTCCCAGCGTCTTTCGATTTGGGTCGAGATAAAATGCCAAGGCTTCCTCGTGAATTGGTCGGTGCTCTTTGTCCCAGGAAAATATAAAGCTATTTGTCCCATCCATGAAGTCCTCGGTAAACTGAGAACATATCTTTCGCCATGCCCATTGAGATAAAAAAGAATCGTCTTGCTCTTGTCCTTTGTAGTTGTTATCTCCACCAATTACAATGAGAACACGACCATCTAGAATTCAAATTTATGAAAAGCAAGCTTAGTTACCRTTTGAGATACCTGTGCTAAACTTTTGGGTCAAATTCATAAGATGGGATAGTTCAACTGACGTTAAAACCATGCCACTAAGTAGAAAAGCTAAATCTCCTGWAAGCGCACGACACCTTTASAAGATGGGTTCCTGAATCAGACAAATCGCTCTAGACACAGAATCCGGAGCATTCCTGGATCACGGATTCCAATCTCATGAATTACAAGTTCCTGGATTTTCTGGATTCCATGCATTAAAAAATACGCAGTCAAAGACTGCATGTGGCTAGTGCCTTATATTTCTAGCATTTTATGCATTATTTGTAGCGAAAATTGTTTGGTTTTGTCCTTAGTGAAGCCTTGTCATTGTGTCTCAATATATATACTTTTTTTCTTAACAGTTTCGCAAATCCTTAAAAAAACACTTTCTGTAAATTGAACAATGAGTGTGACTTTCTACACATACAGGTGTTGGAGGTTACATGGTCACGCGATTTGACTTTGAACGCAAAAAAGGCATCCATATTTTCCAGATGAGGTTTAATATGGTTTTATTCCACTGAAATAATTGTTCTTCTGTAAATGTATATATCCATATGATTTCTTATTTGTGAAGATTTGTGAATGTTTGGCATCGAACAATTGTTGTGCTCGAGTTGGCGAGTAGAAAATGCAAACTTTATGCATAAATTAATAAGCCAAATAATCTTGAATTATATACCTCCTTTAAAGAAGGTAAAAAAGCCACAAAAATTCGCAAGGTTTCTGGATTCCACTATATTGGATTCAGAATTACAAAAACTACAATCGTTAGCCCTTCACCCAACCCCCTCTTTATAAAAGTGCTGCGGTCAAACGGAAACGCAAAGTTCTGATTTTTGGATTAAGTTGAACCGTGATGTTTTGAGTTCAAATTACAAAGAAAAAAGAAAAAAACAATTATTTATGTACAGCAGAATTTATTAAAGGTCAATATAGTGTAGACAGCGAAATAAAAATGTTATTTCTATAAAGCTGTTGACATGAAGATAACAAATGACTCGTGCGCATGTACAGACGCCCAGTGCAAGCCCTGTCTTAACAGACATAAGATTACATGGCAAATATTAATGTTTTTTCTTTGTCTACTTATTTGTTTGTCAGTCATCGATTGCTTTTACGACCAACTGTTAACGCAGCTACAAATTTGCGTTCAAGTTTTGATACTTTTTCAACAGAATCACGTGTTGTATTCATGGGGAGGGAGGGGTAGGTTAAAAAAAACGAAACCGGAAACGGCGAAGCTATATATCGCATAAATAGACCTAATCCCTAACATGTTGCTATGTATCACTTTCCATAGTACTGAAGTTCCATTTTTTACTTACCCTCCCCTCCCCTAACTTTTATATTATTATATACGTACTGTATATTTTATTCATTTTTGCGCAATTGCGAGTAAAACTGAGAGTCTATAGCTGGACATTCTACAATAGATAAAACTCCTTTTTTTAAGTTACCTTTGTTGTTTAAACATACCTGTGATTTTGAGCAAAGTCCGATATAACTTTGCATATCCAATACCAGCGTTGACTTCATTTAAMGACAACCTCGATTCATGTGCATGAACAACAAAGACAGCATAGCCAGAGAATGTTCCTTCTTCGTTTAACTCATTGCAAAGCTCTGACATGCGAGGCAGTGGAAAGTAGYGCTGTTTAACGTTTGCTTTTGGAGACACTTTTACGATCAGTGCCTTTACATTATCAAGGTCATATGTCCGATCACAGTTGAACAAACGGAAATCCATTGCTTCTATTTCAGAATAGCTGTTAAAATKACGAGATCTTCGCCCAGAACGAAGATGAAAGCRTCGGTTTCCGCGAAATGATGACGAATCGAATTCTGGGAATCGATTGTGTGACATGTGACAGGGTCATGATGTCAGGGAAAGTCCCACATGGTTTTTCCCGGAATGATGACGTAATTTCGAAGCGATGTTTTGATAGTGGTAGCGCTTGACCTTTCGGGAAATTTTCACTTCTTATTCCATCGAAATGATGAATTTTGATGTGTTGTACTGAGCATACTCCGAGGGGAATTTCGCCACGTGCGGACCGTGACAAAGCAAATTTAAATACAGATATATTTGGAGTTATTTGTGAACTATTCGAAGACATCGGGCTTTGAATAATTGCAACAAAACCACGTTCGTCATGGGGGTAAGACATAGGTTTCTATATTTGATTTATTTGAATTTGGCTTCTTTTACAGACTTTTATTAATGTCAAATTTTACAATTTTATCTAAGACATATATATTTATACTTTAAATGCGTATACTGTATACTGTAAGCATGTATTTAGGCAGTAAGAATATAATACCTTTTGATATTTGCTGACTCGGTTTTTGCTTCGTTTTTGTTTTGTTTTTCTCAAGGGCGGTGGAAGCCATCATGAAACTCACTTTAATTACATCGACCGTACAGCCGAAATAATCAGAGAAGCACAACGAAGGGAAGAACAACGAATGGCTGAGGAAAGACGACAAAGAGAGATCGCAGAATTATAACGAATTCAGCGAGAAACGGAAGCTCGCGCAGCACTCGAAAGGCAGCGATTTCTGGAGGAACAAGAGCGGATCAGAAGAGCCGAGGAAGAAATAAAAAGAATCGAAAACGAACGTTTAGAGCGTGAAAGACAGAGGTTGAGAGTTTTGCAAGAGAGGGCATCAAAACAACGCCGGTCATTGTTTGATTACAAACTTGGCTGCATGACTGGCTTGAGGAATGTTCAAATCCAAKCTAGCGAATTTAAAAAGCTTCGCATAGGTGTGTTTGGCCCAACCGGATCTGGAAAGAGCTGTTTTATCAATACATGCGAGCGAACAGTGCGACAAACAGACAAGGGCTCTGTTCCAATTGCAACGACTGGTTCTGAAGGGACTATCATTCTGGAAGACTACTTAACTGAGATGTTTTTCCGACTGGTCGATACCCGGGGTTTTTTCAGCTACGACCACCATGAGGGCAGGGAAATGAATGACATTCTTTACGGTAGGATTAAGTCGGGTGATGTCATTAAGAGAGGGAGTGACCGACTAAACTACAAGTCTCCAGCAAAGAAGAAGGATGTACCTTTTGAAGATTGGTTACATGCAGTCATACTAGTCGTGAAAGCTAATGACATAAGGCTTAAGAATGGATCGCTAGAGATGTACCTCAAGCCTGTCCGTGATATTCTGCATTCTGTAGGTAGGGAAATCCTTACAACTCCATCATCAATGATTTGATATAGCATGCACTGCAGAGTACGCTAAATAGAGTGGGCAGGTAAATTTTCCAAAGCCATCAAAGAGTCTTGGCAGATCCTTAAGACCACCCTTCCTCCCACTCTGCAGTCCCAATTGACATTCAAATTGCTCATGAGGATTTCATTAATTTACTCCATCCATCCATTCATTCATTTTCTCATTCATTTATTTTCACTTTATGTTGCTGCTGGCATTTTGTATAATTATGAAAGATTTGTTAAGAAATAAGTTTACATAGCAAAATTATTGAATTGTTGACCAAATTTAATCACAGTCAACCAAGCATTATGCTATTTTCAAATTGATATTCTTACTTTTTCCAGGAATGTGTCCAGTAACTGTTGTTACTCACAAAGACACCCTGGACAACAAACAAGAATGCACTAACGCACTACAATGTGCTGCCGCAGCAACAGGAAGCTCACTCACCGACACCTTCTTTGTAGCTAACTACTGTCCCAATAACCCGGGTCCTGATGTGGAGACTGAGCTACAAATCTTTGAGATTCTCAATTGTACTCTCAAAGCATCAGAGGAGTACATTGAAAATGCTAAGCGAAAGAAACACGAGAAGATTAAAAGAGAGATGAACAAGGTGTTATGTGGCAAAGTAAATAAAAAACCTGACTCAATTGTATCGCATGGTAAGTTAGAATCTGATCAAACTTTATATCAAAGAAATATCAATGAGGCATATTATGTCTTAAGCTATGGGGTCCTTCGTAAGGGCTGATCTAGGTTGTGATTAGGGTAGCTAGTCATCTCCCTCTTTAGAGTTAAAAAATATAGAAATAGAAATTTGTGACATAAATGAATGAAAGACAAAATTCAAGCATTAATTCACCTGAAAGAAATTTCATTTTTGAAATTTTGATATTTTTTCTTGAGTTTGCCCCCCCCCCCCCCCCTATTTGAAGCATATTCTGTACCTGGTTCTGTTCTAATCTATCTGGTTGATTTATTTTCAGCCCCTATTGGACTCTTTTTACACATTTTACATGCCAAACACAGCTGGAAAGATATTGATGTCCCCACGTTGACAGAGTTACTTATGGAGCAAGATGTCACTTCTCTTGGAATTCTAGCAGCATGTTGGATAGAAATCAATACTTTACTGCCTTTATGTGTAATGACTGCAATTGAAACTGACTTGAGGAAAATGCTGATGATTTGATAGAAATCAATACTTTACTGCTTCTATGTGTATATCACAGCAAATAAATCTGGAAAATGCTAATTGCTTTGAATGGAAAATGTGTGCTTACATTATTATGTATTATAAGTTGTTTTAAAGAAAATAAAAACGGGCCACAACTACATAGTGAATGAGAATGAATCCACACGGAACATCCTGAATGGACGGCAGAAGCAAAAAATTATTGGGTGGACACTGTGAAAAATAAACTTAAAAAGCGAAATGTCTATGCCACAAAAGTAGTAAGTTCCACCATTCTTTCCCATAAATTTTAACAATCAATGAATTATTTATTAAGAATTAACCAATTAAATAATCATTAATCACTCATTTATAATCAGTCATCAATTAATCAACCATTAA